TGAATTTGTACAAAAACTGAAGAGGAAGAAGCTAATTACTGGCTTTCAGCAAGAGAGCCAATAATTGTGGGCCTGTTTTCTAAACTGTCAAACTAGTTTATTTCTTTAAGAAATTTTGAAACAAGTGTACTATAGTTTGTCTAACAGTACAAACAAAAGCCAAATTAGCACCTTTTAAATTCATTAACACGTTATATCTCTGGAAGTGGTGCTGCCCAGAAATAGTTCACATAGTGCAAATTAACCAAACCTTATTGTTAACACTAAATATGTGCAGATAAAATATACCAAACCCATACTGTGCAAATAACTTTACACAATACAACCAAACCTGTGTTTTGCACAATGGTGTAATTTCAGTTTTACAATGTTTTGTATTAATGTAAATAAGAGACAGTGGTACAACTAAATTAGGCTAAGTGCAGCTCTCGGTCAGGTGCACGTGTTCTGATAGAAATCATTGTAAGCTAATTTTGGCACAATGACTCATCGAGCCTACTCAAAGTTACCTCCTAACACATCCACTGTTAAGCTTTACAAACAATCCAAAGATGCAGTATACATAAGCCTCTTTAACATTTGGAATCACTGCCTTGACTGAATGGGAAGATAAAGCCACAGAATGAATCGTGAAAGGCCTCTGCCCACTTATTACATCTACAAGTTTGGCTGCCTTTCATCTTCCCTGTTGAGTGCTCATCCAATTGTTGCTGCTGTCATGTCTGGATTCCCGAGTTCAAAGAAGTGCCTGTGTGATTCTGGGGTTATTCTCTCTGGTTGCTTTCCAGATTGCCTTGAACATTTTTCAAATTGGCGCCTTCATATCATTTTTAAATTAAAATATTATTGATAAAAGAGGGAAACTGTGTGTGCAGGGATGTCCTATATTTACCTGTCTGATGAAAAGCCAGTTGTAAAATATAACCACTGTGAGGAGGCCAAGTGTGTATTTTGGCACTGATGTGTCTGCCTGCAGTCATGGCAGAGAGGATATATGACTGATATGTAAATGCTGCTGTTTGGAGCCTTGTCTACAGGAAACCTCAGACTGTTTCAGAAGAGTGCACGATCCCCTGTGGGATGAGAGCTTTGTGTTCCCAGGAGGAGAGTATCCTCTGAACTCCTCTGTTTCAGCACTCCCTCACTTTTCTCCCCTCTTGCTTTGGTTATATCATCAAAGGGAGAAGACGTACATCAGTGGAGAAAATTGGGAGAGAAGGCTCTGTTTTGTGAATAATACATTAATAACCATTTGTACCAGCACTTAAAGCAGAAAAGAGAGAGAAATTTAGGGCATGTCACCACCTGGGTCATATAAGTTGGTTTTGGCATTCAATTTCCAGGTCACTTTTATGAATGATTATGTTACTTCGCTTCTGTCTGTTCTGACAGACTGTTGGGATTTTTCTTTTCCCCCCTTGACCTCAATTTCTCTGTGTACATGCATCATTCATGCAGCTGCCAGCATGATAGACGTCTGACTAAGCTCATTCTGAAGCGTGCCGCGCTATGCCGCAAATCGAGTTTATGCTACCGGCTCCTGCAGGAGAGCTTGATTCGTTGTGTGTTGTGTTGTGTGACAGCACCGCTGGGACAGGTGTCAAAAATGTAGGCCTTAGTGTAACCTTGTCTTAAGCTGAAGACCTTTTCGAAAGCAGGGAGATGTTTATTTAGAGTTGAGTGTCTCAGGTGCAGGGTCAAACCTTTTGTTAGTTTAAGTTTTAGGGAGACAGAAGGAAGCAGAACAAAATTGGTCACCTTATTAAATTATTTTTCATTAATTGTTCATTGGAACCCATTAGCTTCCTATAATCCAGTTGTTATTCTTCATGAAGTTCACAAACATAATAGACAAATGAGTAAGTACAGACCTTAGCAGTTCATTTAGTTAAGAGATACAAAAAGCAAAGTAGCAAGTATGTATGCATGAAAAATAAGAGAAAACACATACACAGATCTCTATGGATATTAAATTGACAAGCAATAGAACAAAACAGTGCCACTCTGCAAAGCAAGTAATGTGCATTTCACCTCACAGTCCTGGTCACAGCCCAGGTCTGGTGGAATGAGAGCACGAAACACACTTGTTCCGTCTTTGCCAGATGCCCCCTGCACTGACTGGGACTTGAGGTAAATATTTGCAGGGTGGACTGCTCTTATGCACACACTGTGTGGATGGCCCCTTCATACATTGCTGCTGTAAGTTTGTGCAGGGTTCAGAGATTACTCTGCACATGGCCTGTTTGCTTGTTAGAGCAAGGGCACCTGCTGCTGATCCACCTGCTTTAACCCATCAGTCAGACTGTTATATAACACAGTGAAAAACCTATTAACGGTCATATTTCTAAAGAATTCAGAATGAACAATACCTCATGTTTCATGAGTTTGAGAAGGCCTTGAAGATAGACTGGTGACCTGTCCAGGGTGGACCCCGCCTCTCGCCCAGTGTCAGCTGGGATAGGCTCCAAGCCCTCGTGAACCTATTTCGTAATAAGCGGTATAAATAATGGATGGATGGATAGAAAAGACCCTGATATACCCATTCAATTTCAGAAAAGTGCTATATCACGTCTATATTTTATTCAAGTTAAGAAACAAGTCCTTTAATACTGAAAAGACTAAACCTCCTAAGAGCAAAGATCTGCTCAAGAGTTAAGTTCATCTGTATGTCAGTTTTGGCTTTAACCCACTGCAGCTAATTTGGATTCTATGTGATGATGCAGATGTTTCTGACAAAAGAGTCCATGCCAGAGAGTAAGACAACAGTTTTATTTTATTAAAAAGTCTAATTGTACATCAATCTGTGGTCATGGCTAAGCCCGTTTCCCTCCCCGTTCATGGTCTTCTCACAAGGTTTAGAGATGGCAGTGATGTCTCTGTCTGACCTGGGCATGTCCCATCAGCTCAACACAAAACAGGGGAGAACTACGGTCTTCGTCCATAGCATTTATTGGAAATTCTTTACATGTGAATCTTCCGAACCGGCCCAAACCCAGCTTTAGAGACTATAAATATACATATAAAAAGTGTAAAAGACTTATGCAGTTCCTCCAAGAATAATGAAAGCATTTACAGGAAGTTCTCAATTTGAAAAGGGGGCAGTCACCTTTTGTTGTTTGTTCAAATATGAAAACAGTAAAAGTGATTTTAGGTTAATCATGTCAGCAACAAAGAATTTAAACAAAAATAAGGGGGTGGGGGGCAGAGAAAGCCAATCAGTGGCCCAATTAAATCAATTAAGTCTTGATGAGAAGAGCAAAGACAGAAAAAGGGCAAAGCAACACGCAGTGCTGGCAACTTCGCCACGAACTACAGAAACTTCTGAACATAGAGATTCATTTAGTGGTCGATTTTAAACGTAAATCAACTTGCTGCAGCAGTTTTCCTGTCAGGTGTGTATCAGCATTATGAAACTCCCTTCAGTGAGTCGGGTGTCACAGCAGTGCACTGCACACAGTAGTATCACTGTATTACTTGCTAGGGACAAGACGATTGAGTATGCAGGAGTAGAGCGCCACCTGGTGACTTAACCAAGACATGGTGGGACACATTCAATAGCCTCTGAGGGGCTCATCACTAATTCCACTTAAATGACCAAACAGGGATATTAGGAGATTGTTACAAAATGTACAAACAAGATATGACTTCTGCTGTGACACCAAAAAGGAAAATAACTATAGAAAGCCCTGGTTAAACCTTGCAGTTTACTGGATATGTTTAAGACCAACTCATCATTTACAGTATCAAACAAAAAGTGCAAAAGGGAAAAAAAAAAAAAGCCTGTTTGCCATTTTAAATGCGGTTTACAAATGTTTATGCACATTATTTCAATAAACTGTGGCCCTGCAGCTGCTGCACCTTACACAAATGAAGTGCAAACTGATAGAGCACTGAGGTACTGGGTATTTTTCAAGTGGCAGGGCACTACAGAGGAGGAACGGCTGCTCAGCTCTACACACCAAGAAGGAGACTCCAAACCCCTGCTTTTGGAAAAACAATCTTGGCACCAAGTGCCGAGATGAAACTCCTTTTTTAGCACTAGAATTACTACATGTGTGAGCTGCAGTCTGAGCTGTTGACAATAGATCTAATCCTGGGCTGGGGGGGGAAAAAAAAAAAAAAAAAAAAAGCTACAGCTAGTAAAAATCCTAACATGTTTATCTATAGACTTGCATTTGACCAGAGTGAGTCTTGGTGGCAAAATGCTTAGTTTTTAAATTGGTGAAAAATGTTGCAATGTTATAAGCAAAGAAAGACTTCACATAAAGTTTTGGCTACGTGGACACAGCCTCTTTCACAACTAGTGCCTTTTGTCAGTAAAATCACGCTGACCTGCGAGCTGGACAAACACTTTACACCTACTTATCCTGAAATATCCCAAGGAATATGAATGAAGACAGACCTCTGACTACACTGTACTGGGGTTTGGGGTACACAAAAAAAATAAAAGGTGTTCTCAGGACGTCTCAAGTCAAATTACACTTGCATGTGAAGTTGTCAGCGTCGAACTGAAATTCAAAAGTAGCCTTAAGAGATATGAGGACCTCGCCATTATCTCAAATGTCTCGTTTCTTGGTTTGGGGAGGGGAGGGGGGAAAAAAAAAGAAAAAGATACTGAATATGTTACAAATATAAATCAGTTTTCTTTTTTCATGTTTTTCAAAAATACGAACATAAATTCATTAACATAAAAAAGTTCTTCTGAGGTTGTGTGAGGAGATGGAGGGCTTTTGATCTTTTTTTTTTTTTTTTTTTTTTAGAGGGGGGGGAAAAATTATTAAA